GGTTTAGGGTTAACTACAAAGCAAGAAAAGCAGTTATTTTTCAAGAAAGCAAGCTAGAGGGGATTTATTTTTAAGTGGCTAGGGTTACACATTCAGACTGACCAGCAAATCCAAACTCTCTTGCAGTTAGTGGCACAGTCTTTACTCCTAACTGCTGTGGTGGAAGCTGGTGGGGCAGGAGGTCTGGACGATGTGCAGACGTGGCGTCTCCGGGCGAGCTAGGGTTGGGACGGAGGAGCAACCAGAGAGGGCAGAGCCTCAGTCCCAGAAGGAAGAAGCAAGAGATTCACCTGCGAGTCCCATTGCAGGAGTGCAGGAAGGGGCTGTCCTGTTAGGTTGTCTTAAGAGAGCGCTGTTTTCATCCGATGTCAAACTCCCTAGAGGGGGCTTCAAAAAGTTCATGGAAAGATTCGTATCATCTTTAGTTCTATTTCCCACAAGCTTTTTGAAGTATCCTCATGTTACTTAAGGAGTATTTATTGGTAGAAGGATATTAAGATATNACTAATAGAGCGAGAACTCACTCATTAATCCCCCCTCCCCCAGGGAGAGCATTAATCCATTAGTGAGGGATCCGCCCCCATGACTCAATCAGTTTCCAGCACTGCAACATTGGGGATCAGATTTCCACATGAGTTTTGGTGGGGACAACACATCCAAACTCCATCATGCAGTGAGCTTGCGCTGTGTGCCATTTCTCACGATGGGAAATCCTGACCGGGTCTGAGCACTTGCCACTGTGGGATTGCTGGTACACTCTCCAGACAGTACCTAAGGGAAAAGCTTTTTATTATGGAAGACGTCAACGCAGAGACAGAGGATAAAGTCCTAACCGCCTCCCCAGTTGCCAGGGCAAGGGGCTTGGGGATGGGAGCTTCAGGCAAGGGACCACATGCAAAATGTCCAGGCGTGACAGGCAACTGCCTTCTGAGGTCACCTGTGGTGCCAAAGCTCCGTCTGGTTTCTGTTCTCGTCCTGGAGTTATCTTAAGGTCCAGATGACCTCGTCTCTTTCCCAGCGGAGCTGGGCTCCTGTGACTTTGTTGTGTTGTGATTTAATCTCAGTTAACGGTTTAGGGTTAACTACAAAGCAAGAAAAGCAGTTATTTTTCAAGAAAGCAAGCTAGAGGGNCTTTTTGAAGTATCCTCATGTTACTTAAGGAGTATTTATTGGTAGAAGGATATTAAGATATAGAAAATTAAAGGTGATCATATTTTAAAAATAAGGTTAAAATGCATTTTCTGATTAGTAGGCACCAACAGTAACAATACACTTATTTTGAAAAATGAGATATGGTTTGATTGGGATTTGTCAGCCCAAGAGGGGAGAAGAGAACCCCTGCAGGTAGGCTGGGAGCTGTGCAACTCAGAACGTGTGCAAGAAAGCAAGTGCCCCTCACACAAGAGCGTGCAAAGGTGCCAGCAAGGTCCCGCTTGACCCCGTCTCTGGTATGTTCTATGTGAGCACAGTTTTCAAATCCTCAATCACACTCTACAACTAACAAGTCCAAGTTTTTGCTCATGCCAGATGAGTGAGACAGAAACTCCGCAGTAGAAACAGTGAGTTCATTTCTGGGTGAACTGATTCCTGAGTATAACAGACATTCTGTAGACAAATAAATCGTTTTGATCAAACGTTGTTGTTTTTTAAAGTGATTTTGGTGTTCGTGACCCATGTTCATAGCAGCATAACAATATAGTATCCAAAGCACTTGAGCTATGTGAATATTTCAGAATTGGTGACATGCTGAAATATGAAACCTGGGATTCCAAAACATTTTCACTTTACAATTAAAGGACAAAATCTACATGTATGAGAATTCCATGTTTAGCCTCAAATATAACAAATAAACTTTCTAATTTCAAGTCTTGTCTATTATCTGAGACAGTTCTCTTGTTTAGCAGTTTTGAGTCCCACTTTTAAGCCACTGCCATCCTGTGGGCTGGTATTTCCAAGGTGTGGTCCACATTGACATATGCTTTCTATTTAAACATAAATAAAATTTACCAGCTACCTGTTCAGATAACTTTGGACGGCTCTAAGGAGCCAAGCAGAATCCTTTGTTGCAGGCTTCTCAGAGCCTTCCCGAGCAGGTGACACCACAGAAAATATCCTCTCTGACATCATGTGACCGCAGGCCCCCAGCAGTCAATAGTAAATAACTTTAGAAAATGTGTTCTGCCAATAAGAAATCACTTAAGTGAACTTAATTAGGCTGAATTTAAACCTTTCTAATCCTTTAAAGAGGCTGATGTCTTATTGAATGAATAAAATGTGCCTGATTTGCAATGGGTTTTTCACAATGAGGCAATGAAGTGTTGACAGATGACATGGTGTGATGCGTGGGCAGGGCTGAAAGCAGAGGGTGCGTGTGGCCAGAGGGTGAC